AGGAGCAGGAAAACAATGAGCGCTTGGAAAGGCTTGGCTTAAGCGTATCATTACGGTGTAACCCTATATGCGCTGACGTAAGTCTTCATTTTCTTCAACAGCAGCTGAATTGCGTGTTATAATGGGATTGCCATGGTTCAGGTCAAGTCCTGGCTTCATATTTTGGGCTGGCCAAAGTGTTTCGAATTTTCCTCGCTGAAAGCCCAGCGTGAGCTTTCCCACTGTGTGAGAAGGGCTCTCATTTCTTGGTCGGCTAGGATCATAATTCCTGTTTTGCTTATTCTGTCCTTGTTTTACCTACCGTCGTGCCTTGTGCATAATGCAGCGCGTTCCTTGAGCACAGGGAAACGGGGAATGTTTTTGCTGCTTTCTTAAAGACGTCCTAAAAGCCGAGTCCCTTGGAGTGCAGTCAGCTGCCTGATGGGATGTAGGGAGTTCGCTCGGGGTTTTCTAACCCCTCAAGTGGCCAGGTTTGGGATTTGCAAGCCCCAAATTTGGAATTGGGGTTTGGATCGCTGTTGAGCTTGCTGGAGCTGCTGAATTTGGGGTGACTGTTGGGCAAAATGTCCGAGTTGCCCCCATTTCTTTATGGGAGCAGAGAATTCCAACCTGGAAGTGTCTCGGATGCAATGCTCCGATGCAGAATGAGCGAAGCCCTTCTGTTCCCTCAACGATTCCTGTTTTTGCTGTTGAGCCTGATGCCTGCGGAGCTCCAAGGGCCTCACAAAGGAGGGAAGTCTTGTCATCAGCCTGATGCTTTTCTTTGGGAAGTTGCAGCTTCCTTCCTCTCATTTAAAGCCCCTGTGCTTCATTTGATGCTCCTCCAAAGCCAGCCCCCAAGGCTGGTCGTGGCACGTGTGTCCCATGGGAGGGATGCCCCGTGTCCCTCGAGAGCATCCCGCACTTTCCGGGAGCGCTTGGAGCCCCGGAGGAACCACTGCCGTGCGAAGGGTGTCCCTGCACCATGGGACAGCAGGGATGGGATTTGGATGGGGGGGAAAAAAAAGCAAAAAAAAATCCACCAAAATCACTGTATTTCTTAGAGTAGTTTCATCAGCTTGAGCCTTCCTCTCTGCTTAGACCCTCCTCTACATCTGAAGAAAGCAAAGCTCCATCTGTGTTAGCAGCCGACAGCATTTCAGGGACTCCCTAAAAGTTTAGTCATCATTCCTGAATTCCAGGTAGAACCTGTGAATGACAAATCTTTAAAAATATGGCTGTATTAAAAACAACTGTTCCAGAAAGAGAGCTGCCACCTTTTAATCAAGATTTGCAGGAAGACTTTGAAAAATGATTCTGGAGTGGATGGGCTCATGGATGGGATTTGCTGCCCCTCGTGCTGGTGCTGAGGAACCTTTCCTGCCGCGATTCTGGAGCCAGCAGAGCCTGCTGCCTTCCCCAGCTCTGCCCGCTGTGTTGGACTCTGCTGCTCCATTAGCTCTTTTTACTGTGACTTTTTCTCTTTTTTTGTCTTTTCTTTTTTTTCTCTTTTTTTTGTCTTTTGTCTCTTTTCTTTTTTTGTGTTTTTTTCTTTTTTCTCTTTTTCTTTTTTCTTTTTTGTGTTTTTTTCTTTTTTCTCTTTTTTTATCTTTTGTCTTTTTTCTCTTTTTTTTTTTTTTCCTTCCATGTAAGCGTATGCAAGGGAGGAAATGAGGCCGCAGTCCCAGACTGCTGCAATCCTCGGGGGAAGTTCAGGGGTCGGCACAACTTGCCCATGATAAAACCGGCCGCGCTGCCGGCAGCTTCCGCAGCTCCGGGCTCGGCCTCTCCAGGGCTGCCTGGCCGGGTGACAGCAGCAGCTGCAGAGGGACAGTCCCTCCTCCCTGGAAGTGCAGAAAACATCCATATGCACGTCCCGTTTTCTGCAAGCGCTTCTGCATGTCACCATGTATTACTCCTGGATCTCGTTGAGTAATTTATTTATTTGACCTCATGCTTCCCCTCTCACTTTTCCCGTGTCCTTTCAGTATCTGCCACCTCGGAGGTGCTGCTGTGAGTTGCCGAAGCAAGAAAGAGGGCTCCTGTTTGCCTTGAAATATGGGAATGCTGGTTAATGTTTTGCCAACTTTAGTTTAAGCATTGCTGAAAGTCATTCCTGATTCTCTATGGTTGAGGTGGCAACTTCAGTGCATTGAATAGGTTATTTCCAAGTCTTTTTTTTTTTTTTTGGCAATGTTTTTGCAGCTGGATGCTCCTCATTGCAGCACCCTTGCTTGCTGTAGCCCTGGCTTAACTCTCCCAGATGCACCCCCATCCCAAGCTATCAGTGTTAGCTAAAATAAAGGATTAACTTTATCCCTTGGGTATTATTCTGGGGCTAATCATTGTGAGAGGGTGAAGGGATGCTCTAGTCAGCCTGGTGCTCACCAGCATTTCAAGCTCAGAAATCAGTCTCTTTACGTGGCGTTTGCCCAGCCTGGGAGTGTTCTGCTGTGGAAATCCCTTTTGAAAAAAAAGGGAGAAATAATGAACTGTGAAGGCTGCGATTAACCAGATGCTCCCAGCTCCCTATCGGGGAGTCACTTCTTGCCTGCTACTTCTGAGCGGTGCCAGCAGCGAGATAAGAGGAGAGTTTGCACCATGGCCAGGAAGGGCTAAAGAAAGTTCCCTTGGTCATTGGGGTTAGAGCTGCTTTGGATGCAATTCGGCATCGTGGGCTCCGTGTGCGGCCCGATCCCTCCTCCGGACTTCCTTAACGTAACCCGCATCCCTGTCCCTCGTAAGGATGGGCTTTAATGTGGTCCTATGCTGCTGGACCTTTGCTATGCTGAAATTTGCTATGCTGCAAATTTCCTGTTGGAATCATTTGGATGCAGGGATAGGGACAGCATCATGTGGATGTGCTTGGCCATGGGTTGAGCCATGGTTTGGCTCTGGTTGGACCTGGTGCATGTAAGTGACCCCATTGATTTGGGGCTTGGCAGGTGCTGGATGCAGAGCATTGATTTTTCCTTCCTCTCCTGTGCAGCATTTACTGTCCTAAAGTTCAAAGTATCTCATTTGAACATGAAGCCCTTGAATAATGCTCCAAAGCCAGCAACTTACTGAGGCTAAAACAGCTGCAAAACACCCCTGAGCACCAGCACAAGATACTGTCGTGCAGGCAGGGGCTTCAGGAGGTCCTGGGTGAGCAAAGGCAGCGGGATGCAGCCGATGCTCGTGGAGGACGAGCTGAAATGAGGTTAGATCCATCCAACCTGGAACCGTGGGACGGCTCGAGCTCAGGATGCTGTTGGGATGCAGCAGCTCCCTTGCTCAGATGTGCAATCCCTCCCTGAGATGCGTCTCCCCCACGCGCAACTAATGGCCATAACCTGTGCCATTAACGTGTAAGCCTGGTGAACTTGGAAGGATTGAAAGGAAAGGAAGTTTGAGGTCAAGGAGGCTGTAACACAACGTGAAATACCCCTTTGCTGGGAGTCGCTGCTCCGTGCAGGACGCGAATTCCTGTGAGCCCCAGAGGACGGAGTTATGAAATATCCCGTATCGGCGAGCGAGGTTCTAAAGCAATTCCAAAAAAACCTCCCCGTCTAGACGGCTTGTATTCGCTGCAGTGTTTATGTGAGATAGAGGAATGCCCTAGAAAAACAGAGCTGTTTTCAGTCTCTGCCTCTGGCTCTGCCTTGTCTGATGAGGAGGCTCGGATGTGATGCTCGTGTCCTGTGCTATAAGCACCGCGCTGGGGACGGTGCTTCCCCCGGGCACGGGGCAGAAGGGTAAAAGGTTATTCCTGCCTTTTCGGGGTGAACCAGCCTGCTTTAGCCCACTAGTCTCCTCTTGCCCTTAGCCACGGACCTGAAGTATAATCCTGACTGCAATAATACTGACGGGCGTCGTCATGGTTGTGTCTGCGGGGATGAGACCCTTATTTTTTTAATAAAAGAAATAAAAAGCATTTTTATCTTGCTTTGAACTTTGTTTGAGATGCTGCTTTGGTGGTGACTCGGAGAGCACAGATAGCGCTGCAGGATGAAACCACATTAACCAAAACGGTGCAAAGGCCACCAAAAGCGGCTTGGGTCTGTGTCGCGTGGCTGAGCCCTGCAGGGCTCAGTTACGTAGCAAAAGCCCGAGAGGTGAAATAATTGCCGAAAAGGAGCAGTTGCTTGAAAACGCTGCAGAAAATTGGAGAAATTGTCTGGATTTTCAGCGTGCAGAGTGAAGGAGGGGTGGAATTAATGGGGCTGCTCAGTGCACACGCTTGGCCAGCGCTACGGAGAGATGTGGGTGGTGCAGCCAAAGGGTGCCCCGTTTTATTCCCTGCATCTCCAGCCGGTTGTCCCTGTAGGAGTGAGACTGTCTGGAATCTCCGGCTACAAAATCCCTATCATGGATGAACAAACAGCCAATTATCTCTATTGTCAGAGCTGGGGTTCTCTCCAAAAGGAAACATAAGGTTGTTCTGCGCCCGAGCTCGCTGAATGACACGGGGCGTCCCCAAGAGAGGCAGCAGCTCTGCCCCTGCAGCCGGGCTGCAATTAGCAGCAAAGCTCTGCAGAAGCCATCCCCAAAGTCCTCATTTTGTGGCCTTTTTGGGCTCTTTTGTTTGGGATGCACATGTGCATACGTACGGATGTGCGGTTCCATGTGCCTTAATGCCTAATGCTGCAGGAAAGCGCAGAGTGGCAGCAATGGAATCAGAAATGCAATTTTTGCTCTTTTCCCCTTAATAAAGCATCAGGTGTAATTTACAGCCCGTGGAAGTGCAATGCCCCATGCCGCATTTTGTGGCTTTTCGGTGGCGTTACCTTAGGCTTGAACTGTGAAATTTGGGTTTTCCAAGGGCATCTGCTCCGGGTGCGCAGCTGGGAACACAAAAGTCCTAAGAGGGCCCCGGGAGCCTGATGTCTTTGCTAACAACAAATAAACCCTTGCATCGCTTCCCAGTGCAAGTTTCCATGTTCCCATTAATTTATTTCACATGTGAATTTAACCTGGCAGAGCTCGGATGAAAGTTGTGCCTTACTCATTTTTCCTCTTTTTTTTTGTTTCCCCCCTAGTTTCTCTGCTTGAAGAACATCCGCACGTTCCTAAAAGTCTGCCACGACAAATTTGGGTTAAGAAACAGCGATCTCTTTGATCCCTTTGACCTCTTTGACGTTCGGGATTTCGGCAAGGTAAGAGCTCCGGGTTGGCGGGTGTTTTTTGGCCTCGTGCTGCTGATTTGGATGAAAAATGTGCAGCCTGGGTGGCTTTTCTGCATAAACTCTGCACCCCAAACCCATGTGCTGCTAAAATAGCAGGATTGGGCATTGACTTTGCTGTGTCTTTAGGTAGCGAGGGGAGATTTGGGCTTAAAGCTTTGTGTTTTGGTTGCAAAGGAGCAGTCGTGCCAGAGCAGCAGGGCGCTGTCTGCATTAAAGGTGCACGTGGTATGGGCAGCTATTAGGTCTCTTTAATGTCCTTATCCCCCCAGATGGAGGGATGGAAAGGGAGGTCTCTAAGTGAGAAAACTAGTTTGGAGAGGACAGCAAGGGACTTGAACAAGGGGCTTTGTTTATTCTCATGTTTTGCCCACAAATTCACTGGCAGGTGGCAGGTTGGGGGTGCCAGAAGCATCGTCCCTGCTCTGAGCATGACCTAACGTGGGCCTGAGCACTGCAACCTGCATTGCACCTTTTCCGTGCATTAAAGAAGTCCCATAGAGAAGGCTGGTCTTGTAATTAGGCAAATGAGTTTCCACGGGGGCTCAGAAAACCTCCCGACAGGGCTAATTTGGGGAAGACGGCCCTGCCTGGCTCTGACAGGAGGCTCTTGGTCCCATGTCCTTTATTTTGGCATCAGGAGCAGCCCGTTATTCCAATGGATGCAGGGCTTGGGAAGCTCTTGCATGGGGACTGCCACTATTCTTCCCGTTAAAAGATTTATTAAAGCTCTCTATTGCTCTACCTCTCTGGAGCTACCAGGCATAAGCTACTTGAAAGCAATTGTTCTGTTTTTTTTCTGGTGAGAACATTTCCACTGCTGATGAGGTTATTTTATTTGATATTTATTGCCTAATTTATTTCTGGACCATTATCTGGAATGTGCAATTGCAGGGGCTTGTTTTATGAGTTTTTTGATTTATGAAGCACGAAGCATCCTGGGTCGTTTGGAGAATACGAATGCGCAGAAGGAGCCGTTTGGGGTGGGGAAGGAACCTTTGCTAATTAAAACGCCGCTTTACGGCCGCATTGTCTCTTGTTTTTTAGTATCTCCAATTGCTTAATAAGGCCGTTAATAGAGCTGGCATTAAAGCCCTCTTGGAACACGTCAGCTGGAAACGGTCTGGCTTCCTTTCCGTCCCGGCTAGGGACCAGCTCTTCCCGATTTGTTTGCTTCCTGGAGGTCATCCACAACCTCGCAGGCCTTTGGAAAAGGGAGGGTTTGCCGTGCCCCCTTAATCCACAACAGCTCAGCTTTTTAGGAGACTTGGGAGGAGAAAATGTGCACAAACTATGTATTTTGCTGCCTGCATCAAACTTATTCCCATGTGCTTTGCCTTGCTCAAAACGCTTTGCAAGACTTGAGGCGGGTTCTCTGCAAAAATCTTGTTGATCCTTCTGTTACGTAGCTTTTATTTTATTTTTTGGGGGGGCAGAATCAACTGCTCAGGTCTGTCCCACCCTCAAATCCCTCTGGAAACCTTTCTAAGCACTCCTGTTGTCTTTTCCACCTTTCATTCCAACGTTATCCGCAGATCTGCGCCTGGCAGTGGCAATGCAAACAAACAGGGACAAATCCGCTCTCGACCGAAGCGAGTTTCTCTTTTGACTCACAATCCTCCAGATCCCGCGCGAGCAAAAAGGAGCCTTTAATTTACATTCCCGCTGGCCAAACGCAGCCTTTGCACACACAAAAATTCACCGTGTAGCCATTCATTACTTGGCTCAATGGCACTTTTTGGTTGGCAGACACTTAGGCCGTGTAGGAGGCTTTTACGAGCGGTGCAATAGTAATAGCTGGGCATTTAATTACTGTTGACGTAGTTAGTCCTCTCCTGCAAGCAGAAGGCCAGTTAGGCAGCATTGCTAAGAGCATTTGGGGTTGCTGCAATGCAATTAGCAAGTAAAGCCACAGAGGTCCCAGTTGCTTGTGTGCTGCTGACCTCCACGTAAAAGGATTTTTCCATTGGAGATCCGCAGGCTTTCCCAGGGTTTCTTAGCAAGAGGAAGCTGCTGCTGTCTTGTTTTGCACATCTTTTTGCAAAAATCATCATCCAGAGGTGCAAATTTTATTCGTGCCTTTGCTCGCTTCCATTTCGAGCTTAGGGTAGTAACTGCTGCTTGGCTTCCAGGAATGTGGTGGGATGGGACTGATCCATGTGGGCTTCTCCGGCTGGAATCCCTGTGGAGCTGGGAAGATTCCCGCCTGCCTCCGTGCACAGTTGGGTAATGGGCAAGTGCAGGCGCTTGCCAAAGAGCTGCATCATTTTCTTGTAATTCTTCTTGCAGTGTTTTCCAGTTACCCCAGGGAATGAAAAGGCAACTTTCAAACTGTTCACAGCCTATATGTGCACGGAACACAAAGTGTGTATATATTATGTATATATTAGATATCTAAAACCAGAAATAATATTGTGTGCAGGGCTCTGAGGGCAAAAGCTGCTGTCAGTGCAGCCCTAACTGCGATTTGGGTGAGTGCTGGAGTCCTCTGCAAGGGTGCTCTGCACCCACCTCTTGCTAGGGTGACTTGTCGCTATATGTGCTTAAGTTTAATAGCAGTGATACAGAACATAGATTTTATTGAACTTGCTAATTTGTTGGCACCAACTACAGCAGGCTAAGATGTACATAAATATGGATTAAGCTCTTTATCACTCTATTAGTCAGCGTGCTGGTAGCAACGTTCATTAGAGTTACTCATTTTCAATCGCAGCAATATAGGGTTTTTCTTTTGAGAAATATAGTTCAAATATTCATAAGCCTGTGGCGCGTGCTGTTTATGAGCCGCCTCCTCCTCCTCGTTCTCCTGGTGTGTGTTTAATTGTCCTGACTTGCCAAGTTTCTGCACCATTTCCTCCAAGCTCTCTGCAAGGTGGGGGTCTTCAGCACCCTGCCCCTCTCTGAAAAGCCCACCGCATTGCCACAGAGGCAGGAAAAATAAAAAAGCAAGTTTTCTGCTCGTTTTGCAAAGTGGATATGAGGCGGGCAGCAGTGTTGGTGTTACTTAGGGATGTGGAGATGTTCCCACCAAGGATCGATGGTCTTGGGGCTGTTTTCCCCCTTGGATGCATCCCTGGGGCTTCCCTCCCTCGGATGCTTCTGTAACATCATGGTCTGCAGTATTTTACAACATACCCATAAAACTAGATCCCTGCTTTTATCCTGGCTTAAGGGGGCTGGGATTTCATATGTTATATGAAATAATACAGATAACTGTAAACTCTGGTATCTGGCTGTGTTTTGGTGCCACCACAAGCAAAGCCAGCTCAGCACGCTCCCTCCTGCAGGGTCAGCAGCTCGCGTTTCCCATCTGTGATATAATTTACATACATGCCTGTGCATATCTATCTGTATATTTGTTTATCTCCTGACTTTTTGCATCCCAGAGGGCATCGGAAGTGGTGCGTTTTCCTTTCTGGTGGTGAATCACTGCAGTGATGGGAAGAGGGGGAGGAGGAGGAGGGTTTTGCCGGGCTGGCCGTGCCGCACATAGTGTTTATTTACAAATCCCGTGGAGGAGGAAGGAGCCGGGAGAACAGAGCAGATCCCCCTTGTCCCGTGTGTCAGCTCCTCACACGGGTGCTGTGTGGGCGCTTGCCAGGCATCCAGGAGGAGCTCGTATTGGAGATGGAAGCGCTCCATGGCGCTCCGGCTTGCAAAGCGTGCATGCCGTGGGTGGAGCGGGAAGCCGTCTCCGAAAGAAGGGCGTAGGGGGTTTATTTATTGATTTTACTTTTTATTTTTATTTTTTTTTTAAATTCCCAAGAGAGCAGTAGAGTAACTGGCCTGCAGAGAGATGCGTGTGTGCACGCTTGCATGCGAGGAAGCAGGAACTCGCTTAACCCCTTCCCTGCCCGCTGCAGCGAGGCTTCCTGTGACTCTGTTTCCCAGCCTGCTGCAGCAGGATGGGGTTTTTCCCCATGGAAAAGGGGGCTGCATATTCCCAGCACCGTGTTTGGAGTGAGCAAAGCAGGTCTGGTTTCCAGAGTGTCGGGAAAACGCACTGCGAGGTTTTCCCTGCGTGGACGTGGGATGTTGGGCTCAGATGGACACGGAGCATCCGGAGCGTTCCCAGCTTGCAGCCAAGGCTCCTTCCCCTGGCGTGGCAGGAGCTCTGCCCAACAACTTCTCCCTGCTTTCCCCTTCCTCCCTGCCCTACTTAGAGCCCGGGGCTGTTTATAGATGTGCCGTTTTCAGTGAAACTGCAAGAGCCAGAAATGTGCGTTCTGGGAAGCTTTGCTTTCCTCCTCTTGGCTGCCTTCCTCAGTATTTTTCCAAGGGGTCACATTAAGGGATTTTATGTTTCAGATCAAGCAAGCACAGGCAGGATCTTCCTTAGCTCCCATGGGCTCCTCAGGAGAACCGGGCCCTGGAGCCTTTAATAGCATGGAGGGATGTGAGGAATCCGGGATATTGATCAGGATGTATGTAAACATATATTCTTAATGAATATGAAATTGATTTTCCTTTACCACCTTGTTTTTCCTGAGCTTTCCTTGCAGTAATATTAGACAAACTCAGGGGAGAGGAGGAAAAAAGAGCCTCTTTTTGTCTCGAAAAACCCTGTGATTGGTAAAACATTTACCAGGCTGCTCCCCTCCAAAAAGGGGAGGCGGGAAGCCAGGCTCTGTTCTGTGGCCCAACAGGTTTTACCTGTTGGAAAAATGCCGGATTTTCCTTGGAACCCTGTTCTCTCCTTTCCCCTTTCCTCAGATATTCAAGGATGGTCACAACAGAAAGTTGTCAGCAGGCAGAGTCAGTCTTGAGATATCATAGAGCTCACTTAATGCAACTGATATCACTTGACCGAACTTCTGTATATGCCCCTTGGGAAAGGAAGGGGGAATATCCCAGGTAATGCTGCTCAAAGGGATCTTTGGAAAAATGGGATTTTTTGTTCTGCAGTGAGCCAGGCTTCTTCCATTTCTTTATTAAACCCTTCCGTGCGTTTTGCAGCATGTTGGGACCGTAAC